ATCTCCAGCTGACGAGAAACCACACATTCTCAATTCAGACTATCCCATGAAGAGTCCTTTGCTTTCCACTAAAACTTTGTAATTCAGGCCTCCACCACCAGCACCTCTCTCAACACTTCTATCTCCCAAGATCCCATAACATCTCAGTAAGCTCAGAGGATTCAATAGGTTTTTTTCTAGCCCAAAGATCCAAAATCTGGGTGCTGGAGAGATGGCTCAGCGGTTAAGAGCATTGCCTGCTCTTCCAAAGGTCCTGAGTTCAATTCCCAGCAACCACATGGTGGCTCACAACTACCTGTAATGAGGTCTGGTGCCTTCTTCTGGCCTGCAGACATACACACAGACAGAATATTGTATACATAATAAATAAATAAATACCTTTAAAAAAAGATCCAAAATCTTTCACTATGCTCCCCGAAAAACAACATGTTTAGGTGTGTTAGTTTGGTTTCCTGTTGTGGAAAGATTTAATTTATATCTTAGTCACAGTTCAACATTGAAGGAAGTCAAGGCAGGAACTCAGAAGCAGGAACCTGAGGTCAGGAACTGAGGCAAGAGATCATGGAGAAATGCTGTAAACTGGCTTCTCAACTTGCTTTTTTATATCTTCCAGGATCGGCTACTCAGAGGTGGCACTACCTACAGTGACCTGGGCCTTCCCACATCAGCCATTAATCAAGATAATGTCCCCCACAGACAAGCTTACGGGTCAATCTGATGGTGGACAATCCCTCTTCCCAGACGACTTTAATTTGTATCCCACTGACAACAGCTGCCAACACACTGTGCAACCTGATGATGCTTTCTTCTACATATTTCTGTGTTATGGTTCAGTCTCATCATGTGGCCTGAGGTCATCTGTGCCCTGTGAAAGTGCTGATCTGACCAGGCAACCCCCAAGAATACTAAAAGAGAGGATGGGGAGCTATTCAGTGGACAGGAGCTATTACTACATAAGCATGAGACCTGAGTTTGGATCCCTAGAACCCATGTACAAGCTGGCAATGATCACATCTTCCTGCAACCCCAGAAATGGTAGGGGAAGGAAACCAGGAGGATTGGTGGGGTTTGCTGGCTTAGCCTAAACACAGCAACGCTGAAAGTCCCTGTCTCAAGGGGATAAGGAAGAATTTGATAGAGTAGGACAGTCAACGTCCTCCTCTGGCCTCTGAATGTGGTCATGGGTATGCGTAGACACACACACACACACACACACACACACACACACGAAATAAATTCTTTTTTTAAAAAAGTAGTTTGTATCAATGGCACACACAAATCTAAACCTTAGGGCTGTCTGCCAAGCCTGAGGACCTAAGTTTGATCCCTGAAACCTACATGACAGGAGGTCCCACTCCCAAGTTGTCCTCCAACCTCCATACAAGTGCTTTGTCATGTTCACGTCCCTAACAAATAAATAAATGTAAAGTTAAAAAAAATCTACACCTCATATCATATACAACAGTAAACTACAAATGGATCAGGAATCTAAATTTTAAAAAACAAAACCAAAAAAACCTACACTGGGCAGTGTTCAAGTATGACCACTAGGTGGCAGTAGCCCAAAGCATAATTTGGGCAGTTGGAGCAGATGGTGCAGACTTCCTCCACTTTGGTAGTCAAAGCGCTTAAGTGGGTAGACTAGCACTGCCAGCAGAGAAGGCAGTCAGGGAGGTGGCTTGCATGACTATCTACCCAGGAGTTT